TACAATATTTCATTTTAACTTTTAGAATCCGTAAAAGGAAGGAAGAAAAACTTAAGGAGCAAGAACAAAAAATGAAAGAGAAACAAGAAAAACTAAAAGAAGATGAGCAAAGAAATTCAACGGCAGACATATCTATTGGGTATGGTTTGAATCACACTGCTCACTTGCTTTACCATACATAAAAATAAAAATCAGATACGTTAAATTGTAAAAATGCTTTCAGATTTTTAGAAAAGTTGCCTTTTTATTATAGGTACATAATTTCCCAGAAAAACACTCAATAGGCTATTTTTAACCAATAATATATTTATCTCTCCCCTCCACCAATATCACGGGTGTACACTGTATTTCACAAGAGTTTTCTGAGCGTTACAGAGGAACAGGGTTGAGATTGGTTGTTTTTTGGTAGATGATAAAGGAGAGAGGATAACAGCACCTTAAGTAATTTAGAGACTGCCCAAGTATTTTATTGCATTTTAGAATATTTGGGATGGAATTCTCTATGAAAACAAGTAGGAATTTAACAGAAATAATCTTTTTTATGAAATCTGCAAAGGAAAGTTCTGAAAAAATTCAATATTCCAAAATTAGTATATTGACTTTGACTTTTTAATACTTGCATGTAAAAGTACCCATTAATAAGCCTTATGATCTTAGGTCACAAACTTGCAATAGAAGAAAATACTTGCAAATCATATATCTGATAAGGGACTTGTATCCAGAATGTAATAGAATTCTTAAAACTCAACAATAAAAATCTGAAAGATTCAGAATAGGGAGTTAATTTTTTAAATGTCAAAAAATAAGGAAGAAATAATAATAATAAAAATTTTTAAAAACAACCCAATTGAAAAGTGAGCAATAGGCTGAGCACAGTGGCTCACACCTGTAATCCCAGCACTTTGGGAGGCCAAGGCGGGCGGATCACAAGGTTAAGAGATTGAGACCATCCTGGTCAACGTGGTGAAGCCCCGTCACTACTAAAAATACAAAAATTAGCTGGGCATGGTGGCATGTGCCTGTACTCCCAGCCACTTGGGAGGCAGAGGCAGGAGAATTGCTTGAACCTGGGAGGCGGAAGTTGCAATGAGCCAAGATCGTGCCATCGCACTCCAGCCTGGGCAACAAGAGTGAAACTGTGTTTCAAAAATAATAATAATAAGCAATAGATTTGAATAGACATTTCTCCAAAGAAGAGATACAATAAGTACATGAGAAGATGCTCAACATCATTAATCATCAGGGAAATGCACATCAAAACCACAGTAAAATACTACTTCATACCCAGTAGGCTGGCTATAATCAAGTTAACAAAGAATAACAAGTTTTGGTGAGGACTTGAAAAATCAGAACTCTCATACATTGTTGGTGGGAATGTAAATGATGCAGCTAGTTTGGAAAACAGTTCGGCAGTTCTTCAAACAATTAAACCATTTGTTACTGTATGACCCAGCAATTGCACTCCTAGGTATGTAGCGAAAGAATTAAGAGCGTACCTTCACCCAAAAACTTAGACACAAATGTTCATAGCAGCATTATTCTTAATAGCCAGAAGTGATAACAACCCAAATGTCCATCAGTTGATGAATGGATAAATAAATGATGTATCTCTTCCATGGGCTGTCCAAACAGGAGACTATTATTCAACAATAAAAAGGAATGAAGTTCTAATGCAGGCTATAATGTGAATGAACTTTGAAAACATTCTAGTTAAAGAAGCTGGTCACCGCCAGGTGCGGTGGCTCATGCCAGCATTTTGGGAGGCTGAGATGGGCAGATCACCTGAGGTCAGGGTTCAAGACCAACCTGGTCAACATGGTGAAACCCCATCTCTACTGAAAATACAAAAAATTGTCAGTCATGATAGCTCATGCCTATAATCCCAGCACTTTGGGAAGCCAAGGTGGGTGGATCATCTGAGGTCAGGAGATAGAGACCAGCCAGACCAACATGGAGAAACCCCGTCTTTACTAAAAATACAAAATTAGCCAGGCATGATGGCACATGCCTATAATCCCAGCTACTCAGAGGCTGAGGCGTGAGAATTGCTTGAACCCGGGGAGGTAGAGGTTGCAGTGAGCCGAGATCACACCATTGCACTCCAGCCTGGGCAACAAGAGCGAAACTCTGTCTAAAAAAAAAAAAAAAATAGCTGAGCATGGTGGTGAACGCCTGTAGAGGCAGGAGAATTCCTTGAGCCCTGGAGGTGGAGGTTGCCCTGAGCCGAGATCGTGCTCCAGCCTGGGCAACATGAGACTCCATCTCAAAAAATAAAAATAAAACAAAAAAGACGCTAGTCACAAAAGACCACATGTTGTATGATTCCATTTATATGAAATGTCCAGAAGAAAGCAAATCAGTAGAGAGTTGGATGCATATTTGCCAGGGGCGGCAGGAAAGAGGAAATGGGAAATGACTACTAATGAGTATGGAGTTTTTCCTTTGGTATGATGAAAATGTTCTGGAATTGGACAGTGGTAATGATTGGGCAAACTTGTGAATACACTAACAACCACCAAATTGTACACTTTAAAATGGTGATTGTTATAGTATACAAGCTCAATTTTTTTTTTAAAAAGTAACATCGTATGGATTTCATGTCTTCATATTTTTAAAGTATTCATTCAGCCCCACTTATTTACATTATCCCTGGCTCTCCTACATTAGAGCTTGCAAAACCTGACTTTGGATTTAGAACATAATGGTGGAATTCATTTCAAGGTTTATATAATTTTGTTTTGTTTTTAGTAAAAGGTGAAAGATTTATACCATCTGAAGAGAAACCGGAGTATATAATTTTAGTTTTAATTTGAATAACATAATGAATTAAATATACATATTGTGTTCATTCTGGCTGTTCAGTATTTCTGAATTTCTCTCCTCCACTATTTGTCATTTTCTCTCCTTCCTACTCTAAGCCACCATCATGGCCTAGCCAGCCACCTAGACCACTACTGATCTGTTACTATTGCTGGTTTCTTTACTGATCTCCCCTCTTCTACTTTCTTTCCTAGGAAGATTTTTCACACAGTGGCTATAGCACTTTCTAATATTATTTCCCTTTTCTAAACTCTTCCGGTTTTTTCTTATTGTTTTTTGGATAAGGCCTTACAAGGCCCAGCCTAATCTGACCCTTCCTTTTTTTCTCATCTATCTCTTGAATTACTGCTTTCTCCTTTACAGTTTTCTTAAAATTATAAGCTCCTCCCTATCCTCTTGAGCTCTGTGCCATTGCATATGTTATTCCTCTGCAGCACACACCTCCCCATCTCCCTGGTCTCACAGTGTAAAATGTCACTTCTTCAAGCCAACCCTGTTGACCGCTAAGGGTCAGTTTCATTCTCCTTGAAATGTTTTCACAGTACCTTGAACTTCTCTTGTTTTAGTACTTATTACATATTTTTTAAATGATTTGTGTAATTATCTGTTTTCTCTGCAAGATCATAAACTGTGTCATGTTGTTCATTACTTCCTAAGTCTATAATGCCTGGTACCTCATAAGCAGTAAATATTTCATAAATGAAATCATATATTCATTAGTAAATGTCATCTTTGTTTTTATTTTAAAGGGAGGAAGAAAGGGAAGATTTTGATACTAGCACTGAGAGCAAAGACATAGAGCAAAAGGAATTAGATCAACATATGGTCACTGAAGATGAAGATGACCCAGGATCACATAAAAGAGGCAGAAAGGGTAATACTGAAATTTCTTAACAGCATTCTTGTTTGTTTGTTTTTAACTGATAAAGCATTTTATTAATTCAGCTCCTCTGAAATATATTGCTTTCATTTGTGATTCTGGGCTGTGTTTATTTTTAAATGCCCACCTCATAGCTGTGCCAAGTTGTAAAAATGTGTTATGAAGTGTTAGTACATTCATGATTGGATCATTATTTACACGTCATTTATACTTTAGAAAGAAGAGAGAATATGCCTATGTCTTTAATAAGACAGTTTCTCATAACTTCAATTTTTGGCTAGTCAGCAGTTTTGTTGAATATTTACATTCACTGCTTTATTTGGGCCAAATAGAAATTTGTATTCAGCATGCTCTGGATGCCTCCTGTGTGCTAGAGATATAAAGATCAATAATGCTCATAATTGGTATCATATTGCTGAAAATGGAAATCTCTCCTACCTTAAAATTATTTTATAAATTGCCAGATCAAAGCAAATACATCTTTTAAAAGCTGTTGATACAAATTTATTTTGAGGATCCTTAACCAATCATATTTAATGACTATCCAAGGAAATCCTTAAGTTAATTCTGTGCCTATAATTTGGATGGGATCTTTTTTTCTGTATTTTTTTCTAAATGGTTACTCTTAAGTAGATGGAAAATTTCCTGTATCATGGAACCTGTATTGTCTGATTACAATGCAATTGATTTCTAAAGCAAACCTAATATGATTAGAGCTTTAAAACATACTTCTAAATATTGGGTCAAAGGAGAAACCATAACAGAAACTAAAAAATATTTAAAACTAATCATTACTGCGTATTAACACTTGTTGGATACAGTCCCTCTACTTAGGGGGAAATGTATAGCTTTAATACATACTAGAAAAGGTGAAACACAAATTGAGCTAGACATTTAAGGAGATAGTGGGGGAAAAGAATAATGCCACCAAGTTAGAAGGAAATAATACATAAGAGTAGAAATAGAAAATAAAAATATAGTAGGGCCAGGTGCAGTGGCTCACACCTGTATTCCCAGCTGTCTGGGAGACTAAGGCTGGCGGATTGTTGAAGCTCAGGAGTTCAAAAATTGGCCTTGGCTACATGGTGAAACCCCCTCGCTACAAAAAGTACCCCAAAAAATATGCTGGGCATGGTGGCATGCACCTGTAGTCCCAGCTACTCAGCAGGCTAAGTGAGAAGGTCACTTGAGCCTGGGAGGTCAAGGCTACAGTGAGGCCCGATCGCGCCACTACACTCCAGCCTGGGCAAGAGAGCAAGACCCTTTCCCAAAAAAAATAAAATAAAAATATAATAGAGAACAAAATCCAAAAGTGTGTTATTTTAAGAAAGACACAAACTAGACAAACGTTTGTTGAAATTGATTTTTATAAAGAGGGAGATCATAATAAAATCAGGGCTGAAAGGGGAGCAACGTAACTGTAGATAGAGTAGGAATTTAAAGGAGATAATATATAATTTTTTGATAATAAATTTGAAAATATATGCAAAAATAAAATCCTAGAAAAATACAAATTATCAAAATGGATTTATAAAGAAATTCTTTAATGTGGATGGTCTTAAACCATTAAAGGACTTGAATCAATGCTAAAATTTTTTTGCAGAGAAAACATCAGTGCTAGACAACTTTATAAGTGAATCCTGTCACATTTTTTAAAAAGCAGATAATTCCAATCTTACACAGACTCTTTCAAGCAAAAGAAAGAAGGAAAAAACACTTCCCAACTATCAAACCAATCTGACAACAACCAAAACAACAGAGAAATTTAATTCCAACATATTATCAAAGTCAAGGCAGATTATCAGGGGTCCAAGCTCTTTCTATCTTGTTGGTACTGCCATCCTTAGGGTTTTTCTGCCCTTCTCGTGTTCCAGAATGATTTATCACTATGTCTGTATTCTAGCTAGTTGGAAGTGGGTAGGAAGAAAGGGAAGCATAGCCCAGAGGTTACACACAATGCTTCTGATTCTGTATCTTTGAACAAAAGTTTTTCATGTAGTCATGCCTACTATGGGAAACGTCCTTTTGGGTTGCTAATTGCCCAGCTAAAAACAAGTGGTTCTATTACCTTACACCAGTAATTAGTAAATAACAGTTTGTATGCCAAATCTGGCCTGCCCCATTTTTTTTTCTTGTTGTTGTTTTTTGAGACGACGTCTTGCTGTGTTGCCCAGGCTGGGGTGAAGTGGTGCCATCTTGGCTCACTGCAACCTCTGCTTTCTGGGTTCAAGCAATTCTCCTGCCTCACTCAGCCTCCCAAGTAGCTGGCATTACAGGCACATGCTACCACACCTGGCTGAGTTTTGTATCTTTAGTAGAGATGGGGTTTCACCATGTTGGTCAGGCTAGTTTCAAACTCCTGGCCTCATATGATCCACCTACCTTGGCCTCCCAAAGTGCTGGAATTACAGGTGTCAGCTACCTCGCCCAGCCCCACCCTGCTATAAGCTAAAAAGGATTTTTCCTTTTTTTTTTTTGTTTTGACAGCCTATCATGGGACCTTTTTTTTTTTTTTTGGAGACACAGTGTCACTCTATCCCCCAGGCTGGAGTGCACTGGTGTGACTTGGCTCACTGCAACCTCCACCTCCTGGGTTCAAGCGATTCTCATGCCTCAGCCTCCCAAGTAGCTGGGATTACAGGCGCTTGCTACCGCACCTAGCTAATTTCTGTATTTTTAGTAGAGATAGGATTTCACCATGTTGGCCAGGCTGGCCTCGAACTCCTGACCTCAGGTGATCCACCCACCTCGGCTGTAATCCCAAAGTGCTGGGATTACAGGCATGAGCCACCACACTCAGCTGGATTTCTACATTTTAAATGGTGGAAAAAAAAGAAGAATGCTACTTTGTGATAAGTGAAAATTATATGAAATTCACATTTCACTGTCCATAAGTAGTAATATTGAACCAAAGCCATGCTCATTGTCTACGTGTTGCCTGTGACTGCTTTGGGCCACAATAGTGGAACTGAATAGCTGCGAAGACCGTAAGATCCACAAAGACAAATATTTATAAGCTAGTCCTCTCCAGAAGTAGTTTGCTGTGATACCTGCCATAGAAGAAGGACTGGGATGACTACTGAAGGATAACTAACATACTCTACTGTAGTTACCAGCATGGAAATTACAGATTTTGCATGCCCCTTTAGATATAACTATATTGATTTTTTACTAACAGAGTGTTAGTAACACCAGTCATGTTGGATTAGGGCCCCACCTTTATGACCTTAATTACCTCCTTAAAGATTCTATCTCCAAATACAGTCACATTGGAGGTTAGGGCTTCAGTGGGGAGGGCACACAGTTTAGTCCATAAAACCTAATAACTTGGGGTAACTTTGTATCTCATATTTTTCTAATGGAAATTTGAAATATACTGATTATGAAACATTTTAACTATAGGGAAAAGAGGACAAAATGGATTTAAAGAATTTACAAGGCAAGAAGAGATCAACTGTGTAACAAGAGATCCTCTTACTGCTGATGAGGAAGAAGCATTAAAACAGGAACACCAACGAAAAGAGAAAGAGCTCTTAGAAAAAATCCAAAGTGCCATAGCCTGTACCAATATCTTTCCCTTGGGTCGTGACCGCATGTATAGACGATACTGGATTTTCCCTTCTATTCCTGGACTCTTTATTGAAGAAGATTATTCTGGTCTTACTGAAGACATGCTGTTGCCTAGACCTTCATCATTTCAGAATAATGTACAGTCTCAAGATCCTCAGGTATCCACTGAAACTGGAGAGCCTTCGATATCTGAATCTACCTCCAACATTGACCAAGGTCCATGTGACCATTCTGTGCAGCTGCCAAAACCAGTGCATAAGCCAAATCGATGGTGCTTTTACAGTTCCTGTGAACAGCTAGACCAGCTTATTGAAGCTCTTAATTCTAGAGGACATAGAGAAAGTGCCTTAAAAGAAACTTTGTTACAAGAGAAAGGCAGAATATGTGCACAGCTAGCCCGTTTTTCTGAAGAGAAATTTCATTTTTCAGGTAAATTTTCAATGAAAATTATTATTTTTTTTTTTTCCTCCCTCTAATCTCTGGTCATTCAAGATGAAGCATTTTTTCAAGCTATTAGAAATACATTTACAACACCTCATCTTTAATTTAGGTTATCCTCTTAGTTTGCAAGTTAGAGTTTAGGAATGTATTTCTTTATAGAAACAAGATTATCTAAATTCCACTGGCTTATATTTGAATTATGAGGAACACATCTATGGTATAACAAGATACATATTCTTCCTGATCTCCTTATTCCTTGGTCAGCAGACTCTGAAAGCCAAGAATAGACTTTAAGGCTGCCATCAATTTTGGACAGATTATGGAGACTGAGGTTACTCATTAAGGGTTTTGACTGAGAGTCCAGGGAGAAGTTCCACTAATGATCACTTCTTTGGAGCTTGGCTGCAAGGGCAGGTTGCAGAGCAGCATTTCCTGTTTGATGGTTCGTCTGTTGATGACAAATAAGATAAAGCAGTAAGGCATTTTTAGATGTGAGTTTTTGTATTAATAAATGAGAGTCTCTAGGTAAAGAATTGCTTGTTTCCTGTGGGGGAGAAAATAGAGATACAAACATTTTAATTAAAATAAATTTTTAAAAAGAATTGCTTAAATTTAGGGGTATGTTACTATGACTACTTTAGTTTTTTTTTTTTTTTTTTTTTCAGGATGAAAAACTACAGATCACAATTCTTTTTTGGTTATTTATTTATTTATTTATTTATTTATTTTGAGACAGTTTCACTCTTGTTACCCAGGCTGGAGTGCAATGGTGCGATCTTGGCTCACCGCAATCTCCGCCTCCTGGGTTCAAGAAGTTCTCCTGCCTCAGCCTCCCGAGTAGCTGAAACTACATGTGCATGCCACCACGCCTGGCTAATTTTGTATTTTTAGTAGAGACAGGGTTTCTCCATGTTGGTCAGACTGGTCTCAAACTCCCGACCTCAGGTGATCTGCCCACCTTGGCCTCCCAAAGTGCTGGGATTACAGGTGTGAGCCACCACACACAGCCATTTATTTTTTTTGAGACAGAATTTCACTCTTGTTGCCCATGCTTAAGTGCAATGGTACGGTCTCAGCTCACTGCAACCTCTGCCTCCCAGGTTCAAGTATTTCTCCTGTCTCAGCCTCCCAAGTAGCTGGGATAGCAGGTGCCTACCACCAGGCCCAGCTAATTTTTTGTATTTTTAGTAGAGATGGGGTTTCTTTGTTGAAAGATACAGGATCAAAGCATTGTGTATACCCTCTGGGCTGCGCTTCCCTTTCTTCCTACCCACTTCCAACTAGCTAGAATGCAGACATAGAAATAAATCATTCTGGAACCTGAGAAGGGCAGAAAAACCCTAAGGATGGCAGTACCAACAAGATAGAAAGAGCTTGGACCCCTGATAATCTGCCTTGACTTTGATGATATGTTGGAATTAAATTTCTCTGTTGTTTCGGTTGTTGTCAGATTGGTTTGATAATTGGGAAGTATTTTTTCTTCTTTCTTTTGTGTTTCATTATGTTGGCCAGGCTGGTCTTGAACTGCTGACCCCAAGTGATCCACCTGCCTTGGCCTCCCAAAGTGCTGGGATTACAGGCATGAGCCACTGTGCCTGGCCATTGTTGAGCATCTTTTCATGTGTTCATTGGCCATTTGTATATCTTTCTTAAATATCTTTTCAGATCCTTTGCCCATTTGTAAATTGGGTTGTCCTTTTATTGTGCTGTAAAAGTTCTTTATATATTCTGGATACAAGGGCTTTATTTATTTAGAGACAGGGTCTCGCTGTGTTGCCCAGGCTGGAGTACAGTGGCATAATCATAGTTTCACTGCAGACTCAAACTCCTGGGCTCAAGCAATCCTGCCTCAGTCTCCTGAATAGCTGTACAAGGGGCTTTATAAGATAAATTATATTCATTCATTCATTCATTCATTTGTGGCACTTGGGGATTTACAGAGCACTTTTATATCCATTATTTCAAGATCATAACAATTACATGGAATAATTGTAGTTTTTTAATAAGAAAATCATGATAAAAGTATTTGATTACTGTTTCAGACAAACCGCAGCCCGATAGCAAACCAACATATAGTCAGGGAAGATCTTCCAGTACATATGATCCATCTCAGATGTCTGCAGAAAAGCAACTTGAATTGAGGCTGAGAGATTTTCTTTTAGATATTGAAGATAGAATCTACCAAGGAACATTAGGAGCAATCAAGGTTTGTACCTGGTCACCTTTTTAATTTGTCTAATCTGCTTGGTCCAAAATTTTGGTCATATTTGTTGTCTACATGACATAGATAAGGCATGTGTGTTTTGAATAAACACCAGAGAGTGATAAATTTTTTATGAAAACTAACTTTATTTCCCTGCATCAAAATATTTTTTATAAGATTTTCATCATATGTTGAAATGTATAAGGATATTTTCTTCTTCTTTGACTAGCCCCTGCCTTCTCTGCTGAGTCATTCATTTGTTGGTATCTTTGTCACCTTTTTAAAATCTGTAATTCATGGCTGATAATGTATTCTGTTCATGCCTTTGTCCTCATCGGCCACTTTTTTGCTGCTATCAAGTGACCAATCTGAGAACTGTTTGTGATGTATTTATACAGAAAGTAAGGTTTTCATCTATGAAGAATATGAATTCCAGTTTGGCCACTTAGTAACCTAATTTTTAGATCCCTTTTTAATTCATAATCATTTCTAAAATATCCATGAATTGATTTTATATGTATATTGAACGTCATACCTCTCAGAAACAATATATTCCATTTTTCATGGTTAGTAAGTTTGAATTTTGTTACAGGTTACAGATCGACATATCTGGAGATCAGCATTAGAAAGTGGACGGTATGAGCTGTTAAGTGAGGAAAACAAGGAAAATGGGATAATTAAAACTGTGAATGAAGATGTGGAAGAGATGGAAATTGATGAACAAACAAAGGTCATAGTAAAAGACAGGTACAAAAGGATTTTTTCCAAAGTAACCATTACTTTTCTTTGCCATGTTTTTTTTGTTTTTGTTTTTTTGTTTTTTTTTTTGTTTTTAAGTATGTTGCCTTTTCTTATTTTTAAAACTTGTCATGAAGACCACTGGAATAATCATTTTCCAAAACTCAGGATCTTTGTTACTCCACTTTGTACTAATCCAACCAAAAGACAGTTTATTAGAATAATGATAATTTCTCAAGAGTATTTTTTTAAATATTTGAACTTAAGGTTTTATTAATTTCAGAAAGTACCTGTACTATCTTTTTTCTTTTCCGTAGGGAAACTTAGTAAATTGGTAAATTCTGGTAGACTTAAATATTGTTTGAGCCAGGCAAGATGGCGTGGGCCTATAGTCTCAGCTACTCCGGAGGCTGAAGCAGGAAGACTGCTTGAAGCCAGGAGTTGGAGACCAGCCTGGGCAACATAGTGAGAGATCCTGTCTCTTTTTAAAAAAAGAAAAAAAATTTTTTTTTAAATTAGCTGGGCACGGTGGCATGCACTTGTTTTTGTTTTTGTTTGGGGGGGGGGGCGGAGTCTTGCTCTGTTGCCAGGCTGGAGTACAGTGGCTCAATCTCAGCTCACTACAACCTCCAACTCCCTGATTCAAGTAATTCTCCTGCCTCAGCCTCCTGAGTAGCTGGGATTACAGGCACGCACCACCATGCCCAGCTAATTTTTTGTATTTTTAGTAGAGACAGGGTTTCACCATGTTGGCCAGGATGGTCTCAATCTCCTGACCTCATGATCCACCCACCTCGGCCTCCCAAAGTGCTGGGATTACAGGTATGAGCCACCACCACTGGCTGGCATGCACTGGTAGTCCCATCGTCTCCAGCTTTGTATCCCAGGACTTCAAAGCTGCAGTGAGCTAATAATGATTGTGCCACTCTACTCCAGCCTGAGCAACAATGAGACCTCTTCTCTAAATAAATATATATAAGTGTTAAATATTATTAATGATAACCTATATCCATATATCTATAGATACTTTTTTTTTTCAAGATTATTTTGGATATTATGTGCCTTTAAGCAGTTTGTCATCTAGAAGGGAACAGTGGAGATACATGAGGCTAGCATTATATTTACTAGAACGGGGTGCTGATAGAAGGTTATACCCCATGCAAATGAAGTACATGGGAGAGCTGCTTGTCTTAGGGGAACATGGGAGATAGTAAAGGAAGTACGAGAGGCAGTGACCACAAAGCTGAACCCTAAAGTTGAGGAAAATAGGACACTGGGAAGAAAAACCATGTACAAAGGCTTTGAGTGAATGAATTTGCACTTCAACATGATCATTTTAAGCCAGGTGTGTTGGGGCTCATGCCTGTAGTCCCAGCACTTTGGGAGGCTGGGGCAGGTGGATCACGAGGTCAGGCATTCGAGACCAGCCTGGCCAACATAGTGAAACCTCATCTCTACTAAAAATACAAAAAAATTAGCTGGGCATGGTGGCAGACGCCTGTGATCCTAGCTACCTGCAAGGCTGAGGCTGGAGAATCGCTTGAATCTGGGAGGCAGAGGTTGCAGGGAGCTGAGATCGTGCCACTGCCCTCCAGCCTGGCAACAGTGCCAGACTCCATCTCAAAAAAAAAAAAAAAAGTGATTATTTTCACTGGAATGTGGAGATTTAATGAAGAGGGAGCAAGATTGGAGGTTAATGAACTAGTTAGGTAGCAATAAATCTACCCAGCAGTTTGAAGCAAGAAAAAATGTTGAAACAAGAGAAATAGAGATAAGCTGCCCAAGATGCTTAGGCTTTAAGACCTATTACAATGTCACCTCTCTCAAACCTTTCCCATAAGCCTTCCCTCTTCTACTTTCTCTCCTTCAAATATTTACCGTTAGTCCTTCTAAATGAATCTCCCTTCCCTACTAGTTGGCTGTAGCTCCTTGAGATTGAGGAAGTGATTTTTTTACAAAGGTGGAAATAAGCATTTGAATCAATGAATGGGCTCAAGTTATAATTAATATTGTTTTTAAGTACCATAAACTCTTAAATGTTTTAATTGTAGACTTTTGGGAATAAAAACAGAAACTCCAAGTACTGCATCAACTAATGCCAGTACTCCACAATCAGTGAGCAGTGTGGTTCATTATCTGGCAATGGCACTCTTTCAAATAGAGCAGGGCATTGAGCGGCGTTTTCTGAAAGCTCCACTTGGTAAGTATCTGTTTTTATTTCAAAATATAAGTTATAAGTAATTTTGAGTTGCCCTTTAATTAATAGAACTTTATTGGCTGACATAATCAAATTGATAAACTAATCTTAAAAACTTGAGATTATGTTTTCATTTTTAAATTAGTTATTTTAAGTGAGGTTTATTTTTAAAATAATACAGTCTTTTGTGAAGAGTTTCATTAAAAGAAAGATTACCAGCTAGGCACAGTGGCTCGTAACTGTAATCCCAGCACTTTGGAAGGCTGAAGTGGAATTCCTTCAGCCCAAGAGATTTAGACCAGCCTGGGCAACATATAGCAAGAACTCCATCTCTACTAAATTAAAAAAAGAAATTAGCCAGGCCTCATGGTATACACCTGTAGTCCCAGCCACTGGAGGAGTCTGATGTGGGAGGATTGCATGAGCTCAGGAATTTGAGGTTACAATGAGCTATGACTACACCATTGCACTGTGCCCTAGGTGACAGTGTAAGACCCTATCTCTTAGGGCCGGGCGCGGTGGCTCAAGCCTGTAATCCCAGCACTTTGGGAGGCCGAGGCGGGTGGATCACGAGGTCAAGAGATCGAGACCATCCTGGTCAACATGGTGAAACCCCGTCTCTACT